ACAACTAAAATATACAATATTCTATCTTCAAAGAAGAATCTTATATCTTGAAGATATCTTGAAGAAGTCTTGGCTCTCAGGTAGATTTATCTATAAACTTACTGCCACGTTTCTAAATCTTTAAACAGTTTTTATCCGTAATACTAGCTGTTAAAATTTAATGCTTGCAATTACGATGAATAAACGATGAAGAAATTTGTTATAAGTATACATATTGTATATATGCACACACAAGAAATATAATATTAAAGTACAATTAAAAAAAAATTAAAACGGGTGCACGATAAATTAAATTAAATTATTACAATTGATGCATAAATGATCGATTAAAATTAAAAAATTGATATTTTACACGTCATTGATAAAAATTTTATACTAAAATTATATTGTTGATATTTTGTTGTATTCATTATGTAAAAAATACATAAGAAAAATCGAAAATGAAGTCAAGTGAAGTCATCCTATCTGAGATTATACTGGAGATATTTGCTTACCATTCCTATCTCGTAGGTAGGAGGAGATACGTATTTTTGTCGATTTACACGAGTTTGATCAGTCTGCTGATGAAAATATTTATTGCCGCGATGATCGATGAGGCTCACGTGCTCGCGTTGTCCATAATTACTTGTAAATCATGTTAAACGCGCCCTAACATCTTTTATGCAGCCTCCAAAAATGCGCGTCTAAATATTTTTCTGTCTGTGCTGGCCGACGGAAATCGTTTCGATTTCGTTTCAACGGGATTGCAGACCGGATACACGCGGCCGCATTATGTGTCTCGGAAAAAAAACATGGGTCCCGTGAAGACGACGTCGCCGTCGAAATCGCTGCCATCATCGTGGCGAGCGAGGCCCGACCCGGCTCGCGCGGGTTTCGCAAAGGCACCTTCTCGAAATAGAACGCCCAAATAATTTGCTTCGGATTACCAGCGACGTACGACGGTACGTCTCTCTTCTTCTCTTCCTCATCGGAGCTAATCCTCGTGGACGCATTTTTTTTCAACTTTCAAAACAAAATCATGGAGTTATCATACAAAATCTCTCGCGAACAATATAACATTGGAATACAAAAAGTCACGTGATATAATAAATATCATAATAATACATTTCATTCGTGAATATGCCAATTTTTAATTAAAATATGAGAAAAAGAAAAAGTAGTCATTACTTTATAATTTCTGTCACTAAATTTTTCTATACAAAAAGGAAATCTGACGTAATTGATAAAAACGAGTAACAAAGAAATGAAAAATTAAATTCTTATCGAAATCATCTGATTATCATCGATTTGATATCGCGGAAATATTATGCAAATATTGTATTTCAAAATTGCCGACGATATAGAAGCCGACGATATAGAGTATAGAAATATTTCGCGGACGTCTACATTATATTTCCTTGTCGACACTCCGTCGAAAATGCACTCTTTATGGCCGAAGAAAACGCGTATGATCAATTATTCGCGCGATTGAAGGGTTGGAAATTATCGCGGCTAAATGGTATTATTCATAATCGGCGTTTCGAACTTGGCCTTCTTCGTAGTGCACCACGTGGTTCGTTTATTTTACGAGGCCACAAATACGGCAAGCGTCCGGCCCCAGGCTTTCTCGGAAAGGCGAGAAATATGAGTCCGACGGTATCAAAGGCGTCTTGTGCAGATTCTCGCGGAGAAACGATCGCCGATCCGATTTCTACTTCGTAATTCGAGGTACTTGAATTCGATCGCGCGATACTGCGACGACATCTTTTACCGAAACACGTTAAGATCCGCGAAATGGTTTCAGCGTGTGACAGGAAACCCGAGGAATCTGCCGTCCTTGCACTGAAAAAAATTTCTGATTGAAAATGAACGAATCAGATTTTTCTGATTAAATTTATTAGAATTCTGATTGATATAATATTTCTGGTAAAATCTACTACAATTCTTATTTTTATCAGAATAATTATATCAATCATAATTCTACTGAAAAAAAATATAGTCAATTTTAATAAATATTTAGTTGAATACTGCTAATTAAATATTTATTAAATATAAAGATATATTTATTATATAAAAGAAATGTTAATTTGATTTAACAATCATTTTTTTTATTGAACAAATATTTACTTACTGTAAATGTTCAATTGGCAGTATTGAACTAAATATTTATTAAAATTAATTATATTTTTTTCTTAGTGTAATTATCTCTAACTAGAATTTTAGTAAATTTAATCAAAAAAATTCTTTGTCCGTTTTCCGTGAGAATCACTATTTAATCCAACCAGACTATTTTTCTTAATATGAAACTCGAATTATAATGATGAATTTTCTGTCGAAATATATTTCATACAGAACACAAAAATACGTATCTTCCTCTTAAGAAACAAATAAAAAAAAAAGTCATTTGTATGAGGATTACATATATTCTTTAAATTCTTTGGAATTTCATTTTAAAGAGTAAAAATTAAGTCAGTTTTAAAAAAGAGTGATTTAATTTTCAATCCTTTAGAATATAAGATTTTACTTTTCAGAATGATAATTTATTCTAAAAGTTTTAGAGATTTATATTATTACAGATTTTTTTTTTTTCAACAGTAAAAAAATGATTACACTTTTTTATTATTTAATTAATGATTATTACGCGTAATAATTTTGTAACACATTTTGTTACATTTTAGGTATCACCTGAACAGTTTTCGAAGCGAAATGAGTCTATAACAATCCGAGTTTTTAAAATTCCTGCCGAGTAGACAAAATAGCGTAAACATACTCCTGTCAACAAAACGTTCGCGCGGAAAATTATTGACTACGGTAGCATGAGAATGTCGAATATCTGACAGTTCGCGCATGAAAGCTGTCGCTAAATCCGCGACGGTCGCCGCTGCTCGACATTGGCATTCGTGTGCCAACCTTTCTTAATAATAGCGCTTATGGTCGTATAACGTTGCTCGAACGCTTGGAAAAAGTTACTCGGGGAAAGAATCCGTAGTGCGACCCGCGTTTCTACGTGTTCGCCAAAAGCTTCTCGTGTTACAGCGCCAAGCATCGCCAAAACACATCGGAGGCGGTGGTGGAGGCGGCAGCGGCGGCGAGTCCGGCGTTTCGCACGTAGTTGGCAACGATTTCTGCCGATGCGCGTGAAATAATTTGGCATTTACTACTGTATTACGTAACACGTACGTGGCTCCTCTAGAGATCGTAATATCAAAACACATCATGTCTCACGGTCGTGAAAGACTACAAAAAATTGTACGTAGAAAAACTCGCTTTTTGGATTGGCTTTCCTTTTGAAAATGAGAGTTTTGCTGTGTTAATGATGAGAGATTCGTAAATAGATAAAAGAGAATAATGACAAATAAAGTGATAATGATTAAATAAACTGCTCCGATTTTTAGCAATTTTCTCAATTTGATTTCAAATTGAGCAAAACTTAAAGGAATATTTTGATTTTTTATATAAATGATATTTTCTATGAATTATATATACTTGAAATGTATGTCATCGTAAAACAAGAGACTAACGAGTGAATTCAACATCCTAATTTCCGTTGTAATTGACTTCGGTATTTTAGATCGCATACTGGAGAGAACGAGGGGTTCGTGTTACGAAACATCAACACGTGCCCATCTGCCTGTCAACTTCAGCCTTTGATACTGATTTCATTTCCGAGGACAAGTCGCGAGGGATCTCATTTGCGTTTCACTTTCGTCTCGCTCTTACTCTCGGAGTTCATTATCGTTATCCACTTCCGCGTACCGGAGATTCACAAATGTTCATTCACACGTCGCAGGATAAATTTACATCACAAAATTCATAAAAATCTCCAATGCAATAGGCATGACGGAAGATATCACATAATTGCATCAAAATTGAATTTTAGGATTATGTGTATAACATTAAATTTATTTTAATTATAATAAAATTTAACAAATATATTATCAGATTATATTATAATTAGAAAATAAAAATTATATAGATAGATATTTGATATAGATATTTGACCAATAGAAAATGTCAACGTCTTAAGAAAGATTAATCGTTGCAGTAGTGGAAGCGCCGCTACTCGCGATGATTTCAATTGTCAAATGGGAATATTGATCGATTCTCGTGTTCAATGAAAATCCTATTCCGCTCGAGTTGTGGCAATTGA